TTGGGCACAATTTCTCCTAATGACACCAAGGATGGGGCAGCATTCCTCCCACTTACACCAAACAAGTGGCATGATTTATTTGACATTGGGACTGTTTCAACTCCCAATTGCCACAGTCCGGCCCCCCCCCCCCCAAAGTCTGCAGGACAGTAAACCAGACCTTTGTTTAGAACGTTGGAGACACCTGATCTAGAACAACCTATAGAAAAATAAGTACACAGAAACCCTCTGTATACACAATCCTAGACCCACAGTTCATCACCCTAGACCCGCACTTCATCATCTTAGACCCGCACTTCATCATCTTAGACCCGCACTTCATCATCCTAGACCCGCACTTCATCATCCTAGACCCGCACTTCATCATCTTAGACCCGCACTTCATCATCCTAGACCCGCACTTCATCATCCTAGACCCGCACTTCATCACCCTAGACCCGCACTTCATCACCCTAGACCCGCACTTCATCACCCTAGACCCGCAGTTCCTCATCCTAGACCCGCAGTTCCTCACCCTAGACCCGCAGTTCCTCACCCTAGACCCGCACTTCATCACCCTAGACCCGCACTTCATCACCCTAGACCCGCACTTCATCACCCTAGACCCGCACTTCATCACCCTAGACCCGCACTTCATCACCCTAGACCCGCAGTTCCTCATCCTAGACCCGCAGTTCCTCACCCTAGACCCGCAGTTCCTCACCCTAGACCCGCAGTTCCTCACCCTAGACCCACAGTTCATCACCCTAGACCCACAGTTCATCACCCTAGACCCACACTTCATCATCCTAGACCCACAGTTCATCACCGTAGACCCACAGTTCATCATCCTAGACCCACAGTTCATCACCCTAGACCCACACTTCATCATCCTAGACCCACAGTTCATCACCCTAGACCCACAGGTCCATCATCCTAGACCCACAGGTCCATCATCCTAGACCCACAGGTCCATCATCCTAGACCCACAGGTCCATCATCCTAGACCCACACTTCATCATCCTAGACCCACAGTTCATCCAGAGGAAGACCGAAAAGAAAGAAAATGATTGGGGCCACCAACAGAAATCAGGAGGCAGCATGCCGATCACATCATGGTGGGTGTGGCAAAACTGCGCTAATAGTCAGCTTACATATATATATATATATATATGGGCTTTCTCAGCTAAGCCCACCCTCCTGCCTGCATATGCCATAGCTAAGGGCGGATGGATTCCAGGAAGTAAATGTCACACGAATTATCTGCCCGATGGCCATGGCTAGAAATGCTAGTGGGGGGGGGGGGGGTTTCAAAGTGATTTCTCAGCATAAAAAAAACGTTTGGGGACATGGAGGGGGGGGGGGTGGGGAAGGGGGGAGGGGGGGGGGGTTTCAAGGTGTCTGGACTCCAGCTTGAAATCTGCAGAGAGCATGAGCCATAACAATTGGGGTCAGAGCATAGTACGGGGGGGGGGGGGTCCTTGGCCACAGCAACCTACAAGGGCGTCACCTACTCGCCGGCGCTGGGAAGAAATGGAAGCGAGGGAAGACGAGGGCGCTTGCTTTCATGTGTGCGGCACTAATTAGTTTACAGGTTGTGGGTGTTACTCGCCGCGCAGAAGCAGAGATAAGTTTAATTACACCTGATAGAGATAATATTCCGCGGTCGGCGCGTATTAGGCCACAATGGGGCCTTGATGTTTGCCATTTTAGAAGTCGTGAAGTACCGTCCTCGCCGCCGCTCTAATCGCAAACTATTTTCCCCAAGTGCTGAGAAAAAAAGAAAAAAAAAAGTTTGGCGTCTAAACATAAAGAGCTTTTTAATCTTTTCATTTGCCGGAGCTTTTAGAGCGCCGACTTGAAAAGAGCAGATTATAGCCTAGACCGGCGGCGTACGGCGAACGCGGGAACGGTGGCGCACAGGGCGATCCATCACCCCGCTTTCACAACATACAAAACACGGCGCAGTTTTCACAAAGCACAATAAGGAGAATGAATACCGCGCCGCGATTAGAATACACGTTACCGACGCACGGTTTGTAGATACCGCTGGGTTCCGCGGTACAGGCGGTTAAAACGTCGCCACGTACAACGCATTAGAGCGGATTATTTTCCAGGAAAGATCCGAACTTATTGCCGCTAGGAGTTTACGGAATGACCGCACTTGTACCATAGAAAGCCGACTTGAGAGCACAGCGCCACCTAGCGGGTGAGTAGGGACTACAGCAGGGCGGCGCTAAGAACTTGTTCAGTCCCGCCCATGAAGCCAACTGCCACTGATGTCACCTAAAGAACACCTCCTCCAAGAACTGACTACTGCAATGTGAAAATAATAGAAGGTGCCGGGACAGGGTCGCCTAGGGCGAACATGCCCAACTGCACCTCCCCCCCCAAGATGCATGTGTCAGCAAAAATGCCCCCTCCCCCCCCAAAAGAAATTGAACACTAATCCCCCGAAGCATAAAATCTCTCTTCTTCCAGTAAAAATTCCCCCCTGCTGAAATCTCCCCTCCCATTACAAATCTTTGCAGCCCCCCCAGCTCAAATCATATCTCTCCCCAAATCCCCCCCACAAAAATATTCACCCCTTCCGGCACGAATTTACTACTCTTTACAGTGTGTAGCACCCCTTGTGGCGCACCCAGGGGCGTATTTACCACAAGGCAAACAAGGCATTTGCCTAGGGCGGCATTTTTCAGTGGGGGAGCACCCCTCCAGGTAGAAGGGACAGCATGGGGACCAGGTGGGATCTGAAAGAGTCTGCGGGCTGCTTGATGGTGTATGCAGAGCCTGACTCTCATTCCCGGGGATGTCCAGAGCTGGAAGAGTGAGTGTCTCTCTGTGCTGGGGGGGGGGGGTGTTAGTGGAAGGCTCCCTCAGGTGGGGGGGCAGGGGGTGTTATTGGTGGTCACTGTCAAGCTCTCTGTAGTGACGGGGTCTGGTGTTGGTCGGTGTCCACCCGGGTGGGGGGAGGGTGTCTGATTTTTGTGTTGCCTAGGGCAGAAAAAAGCTAAATACACCACTGGGCGCACCCCCCACCTCACCCCAGCGCCCAGGGCAGCCGCCCCTCCTGCCCTCCCCTTGTCCTGGCCCTGCATACAGCCTTCCTATAACAGCTGCAAACATGTGGAAGAATTCTGACCACTCTGACTCCCCATCATGTGACAGGCGCCTTGCATGTATGAACACCAGCCATTGGTAGGCTGAAAAGCCTACAGAAGATCCGTAACAATGGGCAGACAGAAGTGGTCAGAAATGAAGAGCAGGGAGGAACATTTTGGGGAACCTCCAGGAGGTCCAGCACAGGGCGGGAGGTGAAACGTTGACTCTTTGGCGTGCTCCTCACGTGTTTATTTACAGAGGATTTCTTCTCGGAGGATTCCTGGAACACTGCGCCGGGCGCCTGGAGCAGCCTCGCATGTTACCAGGTGATGATAGGAAAGTGAAGCACAATAATTACAGGTGGGGTTTAATTAACATGATGAAGAATACAAATTAACACCTGAGTGGCACGGCGCCTCATCCGTCCTGCTGGTCCAGGATACATTGGATGGAGGATGCCAGGAAAGGCTGTGGGTCTGTATTCCTTTGATTGATACTTGTATACTGTATATACTAGATACAGTGTGTCTGTTCCAGAACCAGCAAGGGTCAGGGCACTGCAAACGATGCCAGAGAAATGTCTTAGTGGACAGTAAGATTGCCCAGGGTGTGACACAGAGGAGTGTGGAGGGTGTGACAGTGGGCACTATGTACAGGAGAGGGGTGTGGAGGGTGTGACAGTGGGCACTATGTACAGGAGAGGAGTGTGGAGGGTGTGACAGTGGGCACTATGTACAGGAGAAGGGTGCGGAGGGTGTGACAGTGGGCACTATGTACAGGAGAGGGGTGTGGGGAGGGTGTGACAGTGGGCACTATGTACAGGAGAGGGGTGTGGAGGGTGTGACAGTGGGCACTATGTACAGGAGAGGGGTGTGGAGGGTGTGACAGTGGGCACTATGTACAGGAGAGGAGTGTGGAGGGTGTGACAGTGGGCACTGTGTACAGGAGAGGAGTGTGGAGGGTGTGACAGTAGGCACTGTGTACAGGAGAGGAGTGTGGGAGGGTGTGACAGTGGGCACTGTGTACAGGAGAGGAGTGTGGAGGGTGTGTGACAGTGATCGGTATGTACAGGAGAGGAGTGTGGAGGGAGTGACAGAGGGCACTATGTACAGGAGAGGAGTGTGGAGGGTGTGACAGTGGGCACTATGTACAGGAGAGGAGTGTGGAGGGTGTGACAGTGGGCACTATGTACAGGAGAGGAGTGTGGAGGGTGTGACAGAGGGCACTATGTACAGGAGAGGGGTGTGGAGGGTGTGACAGTGGGCAGTATGTACAAGATAGGAGTGTTGAGGGTGTGACAGTGGGCACTATGTACAGGAGAGGAGTGTGGAGGGTGTGACAGTGATCAGTATGTACAGGAGAGGAGTGTGGAGGTATGACAGTGATCGGTATGTACAGGAGAGGAGTGTGGAGGTATGACAGTGATCGGTATGTACAGGAGAGGAGTGTGGAGGTATGACAGTGATCGGTATGTACAGGAGAGGAGTGTGGAGGTATGACAGTGATCGGTATGTACAGGAGAGGAGTACGGAGGTATGACAGTGATCGGTATGTACAGGAGAGGAGTACGGAGGTATGACAGTGATCGGTATGTACAGGAGAGGAGTGTGGAGGTATGACAGTGATCGGTATGTACAGGAGAGGAGTGTGGGAGGTATGACAGTGATCGGTATGTACAGGAGAGGAGTACGGAGGTATGACAGTGATCGGTATGTACAGGAGAGGAGTGTGGAGGTATGACAGTGATCGGTATGTACAGGAGAGGAGTGTGGAGGATATGACAGTGATGGGTATGTACAGGAGAGGAGTGTGGAGGTATGACAGTGATCGGTATGTACAGGAGAGGAGTGTGGAGGTATGACAGTGATCAGTATGTACAGGAGAGGAGTGTGGAGGTATGACAGTGATCGGTATGTACAGGAGAGGAGTGTGGAGGGTGTGACAGTGATCAGTATGTACAGGAGAGGAGTACGGAGGTATGACAGTGGGCAGTATGTACAGGAGAGGTGTGCAGAGGGTGTGACAGGTGGCAGTATGTACAGAAGAGGAGTGTGGAGGTATGACAGTGATGGGTATGTACAGGAGAGGAGTGTGGAGGTATAACAGTGATCGGTATGTACAGGAGAGGAGTGTGGAGGTATGACAGTGATCGGTATGTACAGGAGAGGAGTGTGGAGGTATGACAATGATCGGTATGTACAGGAGAGGAGTGTGGAGGTATGACAGTGATGGGTATGTACAGGAGAGGAGTGTGGAGGTATAACAGTGATCGGTATGTACAGGAGAGGAGTGTGGAGGTATGACAGTGATCGGTATGTACAGGAGAGGAGTGTGGAGGTATGACAGTGATCAGTATGTACAGGAGAGGAGTGTGGAGGTATGACAGTGATCACTATGTACAGGAGAGGAGTGTGGAGGTAGGACAGTGATCAGTATGTACAGGAGAGGAGTGTGGAGGTATGACAGTGATCACTATGTACAGGAGAGGAGTGCACAGGGTACGACAGTAGTATGAAACCAGTCACTGCAATGACAGGCTGCATTCACAGGGAAATAACTGTTCGTGTCATTTTTCAGCAGAGGTTAGAAAAGAGAGAGAGAAGATAACTGGTGGCTTAGGATGCACAGAAAGTTTTTATTTCAGACATCTTGATAAAGGAGGTCCACAGGTCCAGCGTGCAGCATCAGGTGAATGAAAGATGCCCCTACCCGGGCCTCCACACTTTCCTCTGGCTCCATGTTCAGGTGGAGTCCTCCTTTAATAAACTGCAGTTTGTCATGCAAACACCACGTGAATGGATATTGTGAACCATGCAGAGATTCCTCGCACCTCTAAACGTGACCAATCCCAGCGCCTCTCCGGCTCCCTGTTTCCGATTAGCGTACCTCTTGCAGGCGCTATGGATTTTCTATAGAGGAGTCGGCGGTGGCAAGCGGCTGTAAATCACGGCTCGGGAAGGGGTTAACGGCGGTGACTGACAACCCTTCCGTATGATTTACAACCTGGAGCCCCATTGTGAAACGACTGCGCGTGATGGATGATCCCAAAAGTCTGCAAGTGCCCATAAATCATGTCTTTGAATCATTGACAGAGATAGAGGAGGTGCAGGCAGCCGCATGGCATTGACATCCATTTTCCCAATAATGTGCATTGACAACTTACAATACACAGCCTTAATTAAAAAAGTGAGATGTGGAAACGTTTCACCTTTCCTGGATCTGGAGCGGCGCTCAGCCGGGCGCACTTAACCCTTTCACTGAAGACCGGGCCCAGAACAAGCTCAATACTGCTGTGTGCACCTGTATCTCTTCCCGGGGCCCAGGATAAAGGGCCACATGCACGGTCACAGGGGTGCAACACTGCTGATAAATGGTTGTCTGTACTCGTAATATAACATGGCCGTCTCCGAAAATTTCCAAGCGTCTCCATAGAGGTACACAGTTCTGCTGGGGTAGATGGGGGAGCTAAGATTAAGACTTGGGGGGCGGATATATGGTTAAAGTGTATCTAAATCCCCAAAAAACAAAAGAGTTATATATTGCAGCTTACCCGTCCGTAGATGTGGTGGCTGCATTAGTTTTTCTTGGATTTTTTCCATTCTTTTCCCCTGGTGATCTTGTCAGTAACATACTTCCTGTTCTTTTGTGTCTACCCTCATTTCTTAACTGTATCTCTGGAGGCAGCCATGGTTGTCACACAGGTTGGACATAAAAGCAGGTATACGTGGCTCCCAAGGCGTTTCCATCAGGCCCTTCCCTGTAGATACTGAGCAAGGGCCCCTTTGCCCCAAACTGCAAATAAGTCTAAATAAAGATGGCGACACTCTGTTGTAATCCAGCGGAAATATAGCTTTATTAGTCTGGACAAACAAACATGAAGGCCTGTAAGCAGTGCCTTGACAAAATCATCCAGTGGCCAGGGTGAAGATAAGAAACCGACCTGCCTCCTGGCAGCTGCTCTCCGTGCACTTAGGAGGCGCTGTCACGGCTAGTGCTGGAGGTGACGTTACAGAGTACTGCCACGCTCCAGATGAAAAAAAAAAAAAGCCCTACTGACAGGAGTGACACTGCAGTCACTCCTTTCAGTGAAAAGGGAGCTGCTGGAACTCCCCTGCCCTCAACAAAGAGCCACTGCGGATGGGGCAAGTGCCCCTTCTGCTCTTGCCCTGCCTACAGGTAGCAGGGTCAGGATAAGGGGGGGCGGAAGGGTCACTTGCCCTAAGTGAAGTGGCTCAGTGTGCAGGGGGGATGCTCTCATTGACAGGAGTAGCACTGCAGTCACTCCTGTCAGTGAGAGGCAGGGAGAAAGTTGCTGCTCCCAGAGCACCCCCATCCCTGCACATAGAGCCACACACATGCGGCAAGTGCCCCCACCCCTTGTCCTTGTATTGATCATATGGAAGCTCCCTGATGCGTTACACCCTAGTACTGGGCTCAACTGAACATCTCTGATATTAAAAAGTCTTTGTATGATGTAGTATTACCAATACCCTTCACTGGAAACACCACAACTCCATCATTCGGAGGGGGTTCAAAGTCTAAAAGTGGTACTGGTGATGCCAATGGCAGCACAGATGGAGGTTGACCCTACATACAGCAGATGAATATATAAGAGCTCTCTGATGATGGACGATTTCCAGGTCTATTTGTGAATATTAATGTGACTTTCTCTAACTTTTATTTTAGGGTCCCAGCTTCCATTATTTGTTGTTTTGCTGTTTGTGGCAGAATCCATAATCTGGAGCAGAATCCAATCTGCAGGTGATGGAAATTCCTGCCTCAAGACATTCTCTCCGCTGTGTTAAAAATATGATTTAATGAATGAGAGATGCGCCGCACATCGAACCCTCATTTAACTGACAGATCGGGCGTCTAGCCGCACGCCAAAACCGGCTACCTGGCTGCAGTTGGCAGACTGTTTTGGCAGTTGCAGCCAATGTGTTGGTACATATGTACCGGTGAAGATATGCCGTTATGAGGATCTGTGTGCCAGGCACGTCAAACCGTCAGAAAGCAGACAGCGAGCGAAGAACGCAAACCGCCAATCACACATTTCAACAAGGCTCAACGCATCGGAGTACTCTGTTAAAGGGGCACCATCACCATCGTACATGTAGGAGTCAGAGCAGGCCCGATGTATGTGGAACTACAAGTGGCAGCATTCACTTCTTTATAATACACAGGGACCTCATTAAAAACAGGATCTACAATACGTCTATCAGAACTGCTCCACAGAAGCCAATCAGATGCAAAACAGCTGGGGGAACTGACAGCTGAACTGATGCTTGATACTGATTGGTTGCTGTTCATTTTTGGAGGGTGTTTGACAGACAGCTGAGAAGCGATATGCAGTTTCTATACTGCCTGTTATAACCCTGTAAGGCCTGCACCACTTGAATGGGTCGCTTTCAGCTGCGATATTGTGTACATCCCCATCTGGCTGCGGATTAAAGGAGAGGGGGCTGATGGTCGTTGGTGTGATGGTCAGGCATCCACATACTTTTGGCCATATAGCAGGCGTGGTGTGATGGTCATGTGTTCATACTTTTGGCCACATAGTAGATGTGACGGTCAAGATTCTACATGCTTTTGGCCATATGGTAGATATGATGGTCAGGGTCCACATACTTTTGGCCATATAGTAGGTGTGACAGTCAAGTGTCCATACTTGTGTCCATGTAGTAGATGTGATGGTCAGTTGTACACATATTTTTGGCCATGTAGTAGGTGTGATGGTCAGGCGTTCACATACTTTTGGTCATGTAGAAGATGCGACGGTCAGGCGTGCACACACTTTAGTAGATGAGACGGTCAGGCATCCACATACTTTTGGCCATATGGTATATGGGACGGTAAGGTGTCCACATGCTTTTGGCCATATGATAGGTATGATGGTCAGGTGTCTACATACTTTTGGCCATGTAGTAAATGTGACAGTCAAGTGTCCATACTTTTGTCCATGTAGTAGATGTGATGGTCAGGTGTCCACATACTTTTGGCCATGTAGTAGATGGGACGGTCAGGCGGCAGCATACTTTTGGCCAGATGGTAGATGGGGGGCAGACGTCCACATACTTTTGGCTGGATGGTAGATGAGACGGTTAGGTGACCACATACTTTTGGTAATGTAGTAGATGTGACGGTCAGGTGTCCACATATTTGTGGCAATGAAGTAGATGTGCCAGTCAAGAGTCCATATATTTGACCATGTAGTAGATGTGACAGTCAAGTGTCAATACTTTTGCCCATGTGGTAGATGTGATGGTCAGGTGTCCATACGCTTGTCCATGTAGTAGATGGGACATTCAGGCGTCCACATACTTTTGGCCAGATGATAGATGTGACGGTCAGGTGTCCACATACTTTTGGCCAGATGATAGATGTGACGGTCAGGTGTCTACATACTTTTGGCCATGTAGTAGATGTGACAGTCAAGTGTCTACATACTTTTGGCCAGATGATAGATGTGATGGTCAGGTGTCTATATATTTTGGCCATGTAGTAGATGTGACAGTCAAGTGTCCATACTTCTGGCCATGTAGTAGATGTGACAGTCAAGTGTCCATACTTCTGGCCAGATGATAGATGTGACGGTCAGGTGTCTACATACTCTTGGCCATATGGTACATGTGATGGTCAGGTGTCCACACACTTTTGGCCATGAAGAATAGTTGCACTGCAACTGATTTATGAGTACTGTAATAAAGCGTTGGCGTTGCCAGGGACAATCAGGTCGACGCTCCTCCACTTTGTATCAGTGCATCCGCCTGGAAAGGTGTATATTATCCCCTGGGTGCGTCGGGCTGATTGCAGTCTGGGATCCATATTGTGGCAGGCGGCTGTGAGGCCGGCGGTACATTTTCAGGAGAAGTGACACTGCTATTCGTTGTGACAGGCGGCATGCGAGGCGAGATGAAGTGGCGCCGTTCAACATACTAATACGTCCAGCCGGCACGGAGCCATCATGTACCCGCCACCCACTAACCAGGATCTGATCCACCGGGGAGCCACCGGGTCTGTTCCTGACACTTGGGTCAGCTGCGGGAGCACAACGAGAGGCAGCCGCTTTGTGTTCCCTCGGATTAAAGTGACACTAAAATAGAAACTTTGCATTCAGGTATGTATTCTCATTACTTCCAGCCTCCTCCAGATCTCCACATTCCTGCTGTGATCCCACTTCCTGTTAGAGGGTGGCTACGTTCGTGTATCTAAATCTGCTAGTACATACTAATGTAGCCGCCACAGGTAAGGATTGTAAGCTGCAACATATGACATGTCAGAGGGCTGATCTATGAAAAGTGGAAGAGTGGAGCCGCTGTCCATAATAACCAGTCAGGTTTTCTTTTACATTCGCTGCGATGGTGGAAGGTTTCTTCTGATTGGTTGCAGC